GAATTTCTCTGTTACCAGGTTGGCAGGTATGGTATTAGTTAACCACACAAATTGGTTGCTCTAAAAGCTTCTTGAATCTGTTAAGAACGAAAGGAGTTAAGGGATTTTTTCTCTTTTCTCATCCCTACGAGCCTGCTGGAAGCTAAACAGAGAAGGATGGCATGGTGGGAAGAAGTTATATCAGTGCGCACTATGACTTTTAAAGAATGTGACCTTCATAGAGAGAGTGATTGATAAAATGCAATCACTCCCTCTCGTTGGGATCTCTGTATGCACTAGTGCAGCTACTGTGTAATGTTAGCAAACCATGGAGCACAGCACTGGCATATGGAAGCACCCTGTGGCAAGATGCCCCGGTGATCCAGACATAGGTCTTGCCCAATAGTGGGTTGTCTGTCTAACGTGAAATAGCAGGCACTAAGAGAGTGAGCCCGACAGTTGAAGAGCCGAAGCTAAAGAGAGCGAATCTGACATAATTGCAACTGAGCACTCTGCTTATCAACTCCCCTTGCTGCGGACAACTGCAAGATTTAGCTGAGATTGTCATAGCCGTGTCTGTTTCCCACAGGATGTGTTTTTTTACCAAGCACAGAGGGTTGTTCCAGACTCGGAGTACTGCAAGAACAATGTTTTTTTTTTTTTCATTTTCTGCTAGATTTTTTTTTCACTAAAGGAACTGCTTTCTGCACCAAATATTTCATCTAATGGATACTAAATGAAAAGCAAAATGAATAAACTTGTCAAACATACTAGTTTTATTAATGAGGTGTATCTTATGCGAGGGACATAAATCGTCGAATTCAAGATTGCAGGACAAAATTTCACATTGTTTATAAAGGCACGTTTCTTTATACAAAGAAAAAAAAATGTATAAAAATGCAAAATGTAGTGCTGGTCAATAGGCACCATCTCTAAAAAATTCAAACGTTTTCGTTACGCAAGAATTCTCGACAAAGATCTTGTTGTGAGCACTCCAAGTGGTCATGTCATATGGAAAAGCATAGCGTAACGTCACACATCTTACAGTAAACTCTTGTTTTCTGCTTGGTTTTCCTGTCGCACTTGCATATCTTAGTTTTTATAAGTTTATATCCTGGCAGGCTGGTGCTGAAACATAAACCGAGACAGTCCAAAGCAGAAAGCGAAGCTCACGGACCTTCAGGGCTAGTTTGCATTGTAGTTACTCTCATGTGCAAAGTTCATCAAAAAGGCAGCATCTTCAGACTCTGTGCTGTTCGTTGTATTCGTGAAATCGGTCTCAAACACGACGGAATGCCGATATCTGCAATATTTTGAAGTGCGCACGTGTGCCGCATTCAGCAGCAGCGATTTTCACTTTATACTTAGGTGATCACGCAGTTGCAGTATGGCTCTGCCATCGTAACTTAGGATTGCGTTGAAAAATCAAGGCCATGTAGAGACGAAAAAAATCTAACTAGTACATGACATAAACTATGGTGCTTCTTCATGATGGATGGTGCAGTGTGTCTGTGAACGGTGCGAAATGTCTCAAAAGCGGTAATTCAAACTTTTTATAGCAGACCTTCAACATCAATACTAAGTTATAGAGAGCAAGATTTTTGTCAGCGAAGTCCCGCATAACAAAAAAGTTTGAATATTTCAGGCATGGTGCTTATTAGATGGCAGTACATTTCGTATATCTCATAACTTTTGTTATATTTTTTTCCTTGGTAGATTCATACGTGTTTTTACAAAATGTGCTCAATTTTGTCCCGCAATCTTGAATTCGACAGCCTACGTCACTTGCAAAGATATGTCTTGTCAATGGAAGTTGTATGCTTCAAAGAAATTTCATGCTTCTTTTTGTTTATGTATTACACAAAATATTAGTAGTTACTTCAACAAGGAAGATTTAGTGCAACCTTTTAAATATGCCTATTTCCATGCAGCACAGAAAGAGCTAATGCTTCGAGCTAGGGAGGAGAAAGTGGAATGTGCACTGTTGTGGAGTAGGCGATTAACTAATACTTTGTGCACTTGCTACTTTTAGTACGAAAGTAGTGCTTTACATGAGGATTGGTGGCTTTAAGTGCAGTTGAGAGTACACGGGTGCACTTGGACAGACCATTTCTTGTTTTAGATTGCTTGTTGTGAAACATTCAGTTCGATTTATTTGGTACAATTGACTTCCAGAAAAGTTGATTGAGGGTGTTTAGGCTTTCATACTGTGTTGCCATCCCACTTTATTAACAATTAAACCTTCTGTAAAGGAACCCCTGGGATATCGTTTGAGAAAGTACCGTGTTACTCTATACTTGGTTGTTGCAACTTCTCTTGGCAGCACTGTGAAAGCTACAGAAGTGCATGCCTGCATGTACCGCGCCTAGAATTATGCTCAAGTTTTGGTTTTTCTCATTGACCTCGCTAAAGTGCCTCGCTGAAGTAAATGCTGCTTTGTAGTTATCAGACTGAAACAGTTGGGTGATAAAATGCAGTTATTGTTCACTTTTCAAAAATGCCTTTCCTTTCTTTCCACTTCCACAGCACCGCCTTTTTAGTACATTTGTTTTCTAAGATAAACATGGCGTCCATGGCGTAGTGGTTCAGTGTGCAGCCACACATGCACTGTTTAGCTTTCCGAGAAAACGTTTCAGAAATTGCTCCCTGAGCGCTGCCCTAGCCATTTCTGGGCTGCCCATTTCGGCATGACCCCCCTAAAATGCACTGCCAAGGCTGTGTCTTTAGCCTTTGTACTCCTGTGTGCAGCATGCCCAACATGGCAGCTTTTTCACAAGAGGGATACAACACCACCATGATCACAGGGGAAAAGACACTGCCTTAATGGGCTGCGCATTGAGGTATAAAGGCTAAAGGCCCAGCCTTGGCAGTGCATTTTTGGGGAGTCACGCCAAACTGCGCAGTCCAAAAATGGCTAGGGGGGTGCCCAGGGAGCTGTTTTACGACAGACCTTGTAGTGAAAAAGAATCTGGTCTGCTGTAAAAGGAGTATGTAAAATCCAAGTATTGTTACAACAGAGTCCTTTGTTAAATGTTGAATGGATCTGTTATAACCAGAGAGAATTTCAAGCCACATACTAATTTATTCTGAATGGGGACATAAAAAACTTATTTTTTGAAAATCGCCTTTAAAGTTTCTTTAGCCCTTCTACTGCCCGATTTCAAAATATCTCAACTGAAAACTATGTTGTAGGGCTGTAAAAATTGTTTGCGCCTGCAGAGGTGGCAGTAATTGTGGAAGTTGTGGGGGGGGGGACTTCGTTCTTCAAAAAAATTATACCTCCGCAATGGCACAACTATCGAAAAATGTGCTACTTAGTGATGTTTTCGCGCTCATTCTGTGTTGATGTCTCGCGATTTAGTTTTAAGGCAGCTGTAAGCGGAAGTTTAGTCATCAGATTACTACTGCTTCATATTGCTTCTTATCAGCACTTCAAAAAATGTGACTGAAACCACCGTGGGACAACTCTCTTGTACTCACTATCGAGCATGACGTACTTTAAAACATCAGGCACCACCCCTGTAGCCACGTACATCGCAAACGAGATTTCTGCTCGAGGTAGGGGTAATGCCTAACTCCGCTCCAAACCTTGCGTGCGAGAACATGCAATTAGCAAACATGCCAAAAATAAGGAGCCATAATGTGCTTCTCCAAAAGCAGCAAATTGCATCGTCCTCTGGCTCCTTAGAACGCCGGATGGGTATTTTGTGCATCGGCAGCAGGCACACGTACGCGCACGTTGCCCCGCCGCGGTGGTCTAGTGGCTAAGGTACTCGGCTGCTGACCCGCAGGTCGCGAGTTCCAATCCCGGCTGCGGCGGCTGCATTTTCGATGGAGGCGGAAATGTTCTAGGCCCGTGTGCTCAGATTTGGGTGCACGTTAAAGAACCCCAGGTGGTCAAAATTTCCGGAGCCCTCCACTACGGCGTCTCTCATAATCATATGGTGGTTTTGGGACGTTAAACCCCACATATCAATCAAACACGTACGCGCACGTGCACACACACATACACACACACACACACACCCGGCCACCGCCCGCCCCCCTGGCCCAGCTCGCCACACAGCAACCGCTCGAGCAGTGGCAGCGGCTAGCAACAAACTAATCATTAACACAGGCTGGAGATTGGTGACCTTCTTTCCTAAATCGGTATGTCGATATCTGCAACGCACTGTACCCGGTCTGAAAGTATGCCAACCGATGTTTGGCGGCGGAAGTTATTGAATTTGGAATGTTCGTGGTAGAAAAGTCCACTTTAAGGGAGTCCTGATCAATTTTAGTCAGTTATATCAAAATGTTCATTGTACCAGAATCCATAGTAAATGAATGAATGGAACTAATGGAGAGGGTGGCATAATGACACTAATTGGTAGTACTATCAGAAGGTCTTGTAAGCAGCTTCATTGTAATGAGGTTTCACTGTAATCGTAATGTAACACTAAAATGTATAATGAACAATCGAAATGTCTCCCATTCTCGTTTTTCTTGTATATAATTTTCTAAATGCATTAATGACACTAGTAAGCAAAACCGTAATCAGCCGCAAGCTGCTATACTACTTACAGAGCAACCTTAAATGTACAGAAGCGCCCCCTGCCTTTGTAGCCATCACCCTAATGTCAAAATAAGTTGTCGTCGAGTATAGGCCGGTATATCGGTCCTGTTTGTCTAGTCCATGATAAGCTTGTGTTATAGAACTTGGGAAAATTAGAGCGCCTTCTGTTACTTCGAATTTCGTAGAGAACCTTGTACGTTTCGAACACAGAGGGCCATATAAATATTAAACGCTGTATTTTATTGGCCTCAAATAAACCAGGAGGCAAACAGCTCTATCTAGAAAGGGGCGACAGCAGGTACTTCGCCATACTACTCGAACGCCTAGCTTTTTTGTACTGAAAGCACAAATGTCATTGCAACAATTTATTCGATAGTAAAATGAATGCACGGCGAATTCGTGCATTCATTCATGGTCACGTTGTTGTATAAAGAACTGAATTAGCATGTATGCATTGTTTCCTCAGCACGAGATGAATTGGATCGGCTGTCACAACAGGCCAAGGGTCTCTGGCTTGCTTGCCAGGGCCTGAGGCACACTCTAGTTCATGGGCCAGCCAGTGGCACCAGTGGGCCGCAGTCGCTGACAGCAGACGTGCAGCTGGTGGAGCGGGCAGCACCCATGAGCCCTTATGTGCCCCTCGTGTTGGCCTCTATCCCTGAGGAAGCCCTGACACGTGGTGTCTACCCAGAAGTAGCCTTGAAAGAGCGATTTGCACATGTGGAGCGTACCTGCCGCCGTGTTGCCCTCGTTGATGACCAGAGACCCTCATCACTACTTCGATACTTGGCATCCTACCTGCAGTCACTCTGTGTCATCTACCCTAAGGTCAGCAATTGGTGTCTTTTGTATCGTTATGCAAAAACGTACAGTAGACTTTATTATTAGAACTCTGATAATACAAACTTTCAGAAATTTAAACAAATTTAAAATTTTGGGTTGGCCCACTCTGTTTTCTATGTATTTTTTAACACCATTTAAGGCAAACTGCACTTTTGCAAAAAGTTGGTCAGTTTATACTTTTTGCTTGTTTGTGTCGAAAAATGCCTATTGCCTTTGTGTCTTCAGCTGAGCATGCATGTACCTGTGATACTAAGTGTCTCAAATAAAACAGATTGCCTGCCTACAAAGCGGCCAAACTTGCTAACCATGGTCGTCTACAATCACATGTTGATTTAGAAAGAAGTCACTTCTTTTGAGAAAGACTAGTGTCATGCAGAAAAGCATACTAAGACTGGCAAGGCGTAACTAGCTTTTGCAGGGCACATGTTTTGTCTCTTAATTGCACACTTGTGCACGCACACGTGCAAAGTATAATAATGAGTACCAGTACAGTTTCCAGAATATTTATTAGCAATAATGTAGAGTCTGAAGTAGCTGTAAAAAACATTTTAAAAGCCGCATATATGTTGCCGATTCAGGCATGGGAACTACTAATGGCTTGTCGTAAAGTGTAACCTGCTTTTCATTTTCTTGGAATTCATTTTTCAAGCAAATAAAAGGTAGTGCATGTGCATTGCATATGCAATTAAATGCAGAATTTTAATGGATGAAATACACAGTAATGCCATTAGGTGCAAGTGCTGTGCTAACTGCACCAGTCTGACCTGCTGCGCCACGCCGCGCCTAAACGCAATTTGCACGTACAATGCCAAATTTAGTCGAGAGTTTTATCATTGGCCGAACGACACGCGTGGGCTACACAAATGACGCAATCGTGTCCATCATCTTATTTCGGATCATGCATGAACCTTGTGCCACGTGTACACAATGCACAGTTCTTGTTAAGGTGGTGTTTGTGTGCATACCTCATTATGCGTCTTATCTTTTAACAGCAGAGCCGTTAGGCAAACTACAAAGACGGCAGTGGTGTTGCAAAAACTCTGCACCGTTGCCGAGCAAACGCCTAGCGCGTGCTGTGCTCGGTGGTTGGTTGGCAACGGCGTGTTAAGTTTTTTTGCCGTATAAACTTTAAAAAAAATTAAAATCAGTGTCATCGGCGAAGCGATGACTGCAATAGCAACATAATGTTGTAATGACGGTGCCGCACGGGCTCTTTTCTTTCTATTTTTGTTACCACATTAATGCGCGTGTAACGCTGCCTTGCAAACACCACACCTGAATTACTGGGGACCATCTATACATAATCTTAGAACCTTCCGATGAGATTACACGCACAACACGTACACCACAATTTGTTGTGGAACTTGCTGTGGTGCTAGCGATAGCTGGAATCTTCGATGGCATACGCATAAATGCCGACACACTTTGCTGCAATCCCGATTATCGACGGCCGACGCACTATGTTTGCTGCTATAAGTCTACAATGTGTATTGCTTGCATAGTGACGTTTCGTTTCCCGGGCATAGGTTAGCAAAATAGTTCACTCATGAAAACAGCTGCTGCTGCCTTCGTCGACATCACGACCCCGTGACACTACGTAGGCTGACAGCTGTTTTGGATCCGAGATTGTGACTGTCACAACTACAAGACACTGGTGTAAGAAAGAGAATAAGTACATCCGCTTCAAGAAGAAATGCTCTTCTTGCGCGATCTCTCCCCATTAAGAGCGCACCATGTTGAATGGCTTACGCGCTGTGCACTGGTACTTGCTGGTACCGCGCGCGCCAGCTATTGCAACCATGCCCCTGATTAGAATCGAAGAAGTTCACGGCTGCTGCTCGAGCGACCCCTCTCCTCTCCACCGCGTCTTTTCATGCTCGTTGAAGATGGATGGCGTATTTCCTCTCTGCTTGAGCATTCAAGGGCAGTTGTAACACACGGTGAGATGCCAACGTGTGCATCCCCGAGCGATCGGCTGTCTTGTTTAATCTCTGCTTGAACAGCACTCATCACCGCTGCTTGCGTAATTTTGAGCGTGGGTTGAATGTACGATGTGCATGGATTGACACCAACTTGTAGTTTAAGGGGAAACATGGTGATGCGGCAAAAACTCTTCAATTATTCATATAATTCCAATCTTAATAAAAAGAAGTCGCACTTCTGCCAAAAGGGTAAAGCAATGAATGCGATAGAAACATATTCAAATGTTTTACAAAGCAAGCCTAGCGTTTTTAGAAGCAATAATAATTGTAGTAAACATGCGCTTGCTAAGTAACCAAGTTTCCTGCGGCACAGCCGCAGTAGATGGCCAGAACAAGGCTCATGCGTAGTGACTGTGTTGATATACAAAGTGAGGCTGGCAGTAAACTCATTTAGATCTGATCTCGCATAACTCTAGAAAACGCTGGTGTAAGAGAACACGGCTGCTCCAGGTACACTTCTGGCACAGTTTTTTTTTTTTTTTTTTTTTTCATTTTGAGAGCGCATCCCATAGAAGCTCCTGCCTGCTGTTGGGGCACAAGCTGCGCGCTGGTCATTGCCACGATAGCGCGGCAACCATAAGCCCCCCCACCCCATTGTGTGCTCACGAGCGCATCTAAATTTTTTCGTTGTTCTCGTGTCTGATGTGGCACTTCAATGACCGGAACATGAGTTTTTTTACATTTATTTTTATAGAGTCTTATAGATTTAGTGTGTAGAGAACTTTTATTATATAGTAGCTCATCTCAAGTCTTGAGTTGCTCTTCATGTTGGATGCGATGTTTTAATAACATTTCGAACATCGCAACATTTTAAAATCAACTTCTTTCGTCTGAGGTCTAGTAGCTGTCCAGAAATCTGCTTATCAAGTTGTTGTTTTTTATTTTGAGTTGCTGTGCTTTCACTTTTCATTTTGTAAGGTTTAATATATTTGACTTTTAGGGGAGTCTGGTCGCTTGATCAACATTGCATGCTTAGTCCAGAAAGCAAAAATTGTAATTAAATGATGTGTAGCCCAAGAAATCCACTCCAAAACTAAATTTCATGCTCCAAAACACACGTTTTGCTGCTCCACAATACTGAAGCCCGCTTCTATCCTTGCATTTAGCACTTCTATATCAGGGCACCGATTCATAAAACATTTTTGCGTGCCTTTGGAGCACTGCCTGTGATGTGCCTTTGTAGCGTGTAAAAGCAGTTTAATTGGCTATTGACAGGAGCTGCCCGAGGAGGAACTTGCAGATGAGCAGCGAGTCAACCCCGAAATGTGGGACACTTTTGATGTGCTCTCACGTGTGCGTTATTGGCTTCAGCATGAGAACCTGGAACAAGCTCTACGATATGCCAGTCAGCTGCGTGGACAGCCAAGGCTGGTGGCCCAAGATTGGATCCACGAACTTCGACTGCATCTTGAGGCTCGCCAAGCAGCCTCTGCTCTCATGGCCTTTGCTGCGGCAACTATTGCTGAAGATGCTGAGTAACTGAAACATAATTGTTATGCTGTGTGTGTTTAAGAGAACTCAATTCTGGCTTCTTCTGGAGGTCCTTGTTCAGATAGAAATGTTGCTTCTGGTGTGTGGGCGAGGATTGCCAAGTTACTTCCTTGGAGTGCTGCTTTTGACCATATTTTGTTGTAATGACTTCTCACTGCCTTGATTATGGCTACAGAGCATGATTCCTGAAAGAGAGCTATAGAAGGCAATCTGAATCTTGAGGCTCGCCAAGCAGCCTCAGCCCTCGTGGCCTTTGCTGCGGCTACTATTGCTGAAGATGCTGAGTAGCTGAAACATAACTGGTATGCTGTGTGTGTTTAAGACAACTCAATTCTGGCTTCTTCTGGAGGTCCTTGTTCAGAGATAGAAATTTTGCTTGTGGTGTGTGGGCTAGGATTGCCAAGTTACTTCCTTGGAGCGCTGCTTTTGACCATATTTTGTTGTAATGACTTCTCACTGCCTTGACTATGGCTACAGAGCATGATTCCTGAAAGAGAGCTGTAGAAGGCAATCTGCATCTTGAGGCTCGCCAAGCAGCCTCGGCCCTCATGGCCTTTGCTACGGCTACTATTGTGAAGATGCTGAGTAGCTGAAACATAACTGGTATGCTGTGTGTGTTTAAGACAACTCAATTCTGGCTTCTTCTGGAGGTCCTTGTTCAGATAGAAATATTGCTTCCGGTGTGAGGGCTAGGATTGCCAAGTTACTTCCTTGGAGTACTCTTTTGACCATATTTTGTTGTACTGACTTCTCACTGCCTTGACTATGGCTACAGAGCATGATCCCTGAAAGAGAAGGCAGTGTTCTGATAGCACAATTTTTTCATGTGCCCTTTATTTTCATTCATTTTGTCAAGCTGGCACATCTGCTTTGTAAACCGGCAGCATGGTTTTTCATGCTTAGGATGCAAAATTTCGTACTGGTTAAGTTGGTGAAATAATGCTTGTGAAACTGTGTGACACTTGACAACTATAGTTTTGCTTGCCTGCTGGGACAGTATGTTATAGAATTGAAGGCTGTGACAATAAGAAGTCAGTAGCAAGCACCGAGGCCTCAAAGCTCTATATATGGAATAGGAACTAGGTGGCCTTGCGTGCATCATGTGCTTGTATAGTCCCTAGTCCAACCTTGCCTTATTGTGCGAACTTCGCTCACATTATTGTGAAAACTTCGCTCATATCTGTCTTACAGTAATGATAGTGTGCTGAGATTAGTTTGGGTATTGAAAAGTCAAGCAACTTCTAAGAATCATGTGAATGGGGCTTTAGAATCCCATAGGAGCTGAAAATAAATGTGCATTTTTGCAAAATTGTATTGGGCAGTGTGCACGTATATGTGTGTTTGGCGTAAGGCTATAGCATTCATCCTTGTTGAAGTGCTGAAATGGTTGAAATAGAATGAATTTCCAAGTGTGTTGGGCACTACTTTGTGCAAAGTATGAAGCACATACTTTGCAGTGCCCCGAGTGCAAAGACTTTATAAGTGCAGGCATACATTGCAATTCACTAGCACGCCATATACATTTTTATGCAGGTGAGTTGTTTTTTTGTTAAGTCTGTTCACACTTTGCATAACAAAATATATACCTGCACTGCCATAACTATAAAACACCTATTGAACTGCCCCACATGAAATGCGAATGCTGAACAGCATAAAGTAGTTGTGGTTGCTCTTGGTGGCTCAAGGTGCATTTTTATATTATTCCTGTCGCCCCGCCGTGGAGGTCTAGTGGCTAAGGTACTCGTCTACTGACCCACAGGTCGCGGGATCGAATCTCAGCTGCGGCTGCATTTTGGATAGAGGCGAAAATGCTGAATGCCCGTGTGCCCAGATTTGGGTGCGTGTTAAAGAGCCTCAGGTGGTCAAAACTTCCCACAACGGCATCTCTTATAATCATACAGCTGTTTTGGGACGTTGAACCCCACATATCAATCACTCATATTATTTCTGCCGCTCCTGCACAGTAGGTGAAGTAGTTCGTTGTATAGTTTTTTTTTTTACTATGGTGGATTAATCAGCAGCTGTTTGTGTAGGAATCACTAGGCCTTATTTTCTTGGTTTATGTCTCTGTTTGGCCTTCTCTTTTTGGCAGTTGTGAAACTAAGCACGAACAAGGGGCATACCTTCTGAAACTTGCTGCAAGACACCCTAGGAACCAAGAAAACAATATCTATGCAGCATGCTAGACCTCGCACGTAACGTGTGCAGAAGCGACAAATGCTCTCGCCAGATGATGACAGGGGGAATTGCTCATACAGTTAAAATGGCTACTCTGATACCAATGACCAAGTACTACTAGAGCCATTTTTTAGTAATCTACAAAAGCCACACGAAACGTCATAATAAACTACAAAAGCCACACATAACTTCGAAATCTGGAAAAAGCATAGCAGTGGAAACGGAACAGAGAGCAGAAATGTGGCTTTTGTAGTTTACTAAGTACGTATCAACTTGCCCAACAAGCAACTCTTCTAAACTACTAGAGACAGTCTCACAATTATCTCGGAGGTACCATCAATCTCTCCTTGGATGCCAAAATTGTTTTCCGACGCCACTGCGCAGATTTTTCAGAAAATAGAGCCACATGACCCGATGTGAAACTAAAGCAATGCTGTACAACCTAAGTGACCTGGTTCTGCAGCAGTTTCTAGATTTCTTCAACAAAGAAGTCTGATCACCAAGGGTAGAATACAGCTGCACTGAAAGGAGGCCACGATTGGTCTAGCCCTAAAACCATACAAGGTCCTGGGCTTGAAGAGTATGTACAAATATCTGTTACCTCCTTCCTGCTTTGGAAAAACTCTGTCATCCTCGCTTGCCTGGAAAACCATATAAGGGCAAAGTGGTCTCCTGCCAGACCATGATGGTTCTTCGAAAGGGGATCGCCACCCAGGATGTATTCTTCTTATTCCGAGGAGATGTCCTAAAGCCTCACAGAAGAGTCGACTGGATCCTAACACCAAATGTACATGTCCTAAAGCCTTACAGAAAAGTCGACTGGATCCTAACACCAAATGTACAGAAAGCTATCAAAAGGGTCTTGCATGGGACAGTCTTATACCCTTGTCACATGGCAAATCTAATGTCATTTACAGTGAACGTCATTCATTTGTATTGTCATTTGTTTGCTATCACATGCAGAAACTAATGCCATTTGATGAAAACGACATTTTCTGTCGAATGAGTTCCTGGAACACATTTGCATTCGATTTCGGGCCGAATGAGTAGTCTTGACACAAGGGACTTCTAGGGAGATGGGTGTTAACTTATGTATACATAACTTATATAATTTGTAAATATTTTATTGCTTCCTAAATCAACTTATTACTGGTTTGATGTCATAATAGCACACGCAAAAGTTTCTAAAAAAAAGCTACTTTCAACTAGAGCGGCTCGACGTAGGCCATGTTTAATTTGTGCTCTGTTGTCATTGTTGCCTGTATCGCGGATGTTGATCGGGTTGTGGGGACCAAGGTGGTGACTACACGAAATAGCTGCCTTCGTCACATTTCTGCAGCGAAGAAGTCAGTCGAGCAACCCGCATCAGTTCATTGTTCTCACGCCCAGTCATATAATTGCCAGCCATGTTGGTTTTTGACTGTCGTGTAGCTGTGGCAAGTTGTGTAAAACGGCCATGTTTATATCGTAGGAGCACCTTTTTTTATCCGCATATATTATTTTTATGAATACACACATGCTACATGCAAGATTCATACCTGCCAAGTCTCCCGGATTTTCCAAGACACTCCTGGATTTTGACCGTTTCTTCCGTTTGTATCGTTGTCGTGAAAATCTCCTGAAAATTGAAATTTTTGTGCGTGATCTGGCCTTATTGACAATAAAGCAGCTCAAAGCGCTCCAGGTTTTTTTGCGAACCCACCTCAATTTATTACAGATGAATTTAAGAGGCGTTTATCTAAACATACAGCAGAATCTCAGTGATGCCAAACCGCGGCAGATACGAATTCGTGAAATTCCCCAGCCAAATTTCACTGTCTATTGGGCCTAAATTGGGATGTTCCAAACACATTTGCCAATTGCAGCGGGTGATACGAACTTTAGTATGGAAACTTTCGAACGAAGGCCGTGAGTAGCACACTGGAAGCTTTGGGAGAACGCATGCGACCAGCACACGCACTGTGTTCTACAGTGTAAGTATTGTCGTTGCCAGAACTGCTGCGGGCAAAAGCGTGGTCGTTCTTGATACTATCATGTATGGCGATGACGTAACTTGCAGAACCCCCGGAGGTGTGCGTGCGTTCAACGCTCGACCTGTCAAAGTATCGCTGCTTTCCACAAACTATGCGGGCAGAACCACGGCAAATGCGATCGTAGATGGTATAAAACGACTTAGATTTAAGGGCACGTTTACAGCCAAACGCACAAGACCGTGGTCGCGGCGACGCGATAGCGATGTACGAGCTCCGAGGGCACGTGGCAAATGCAGCGGTAGATTAAAGGCAGTAAAAAGAACAAAAGGCCAGACAGGTTTTGGCGTTCCTATGAAAAAAAAAATTTTGTAATGAGCAATGCTGCGACACACGCTTTTGCAGCAGCCAGCTGCGCCGTCTCGTTTGTTGTCTGTTCACGTGTGTCCCAGGAAGACGCACTATACGCGAGTTGTTTAGACGAAATTAGATTTTGCTATTTCTGTTGATCCTTTGAGACTCTCACCTCAGTGGGAAACCCTACCCTCGTGTGTTCGGCCGCTCGAAGTCTCAATAAGACCGCAACGCCAATGTTGGCGCTTACAACCGAGACCTGCCACCCCCTCTTGTTTTTCGTGATGTTTTTGTTTGTTTGTTCTCGAGTTTTTGTTGTTTCTTTATACCGAAAAAAATAAGGGCAAATAATTCAGATCAACCCCTCCCTCCTCCCGATGAAGACATCTCCTAGATTCAGAATCCTTGAACTTAGCAGGTATGTGGATAGAGAGAATGCATATACAACCACAATGCAAGCTCATCATAAGGGACACTTGAAAACTGGTTGGTTTACCTATGTTCACCATGGAAGTAGTATGGAATACAAAGGCCACGGTTACGGGAGAAGTTGAAGACGTTTTTGGGTCTTAAGAATACATTCAACCATTAGAAAAGGAACAAGTGAGGTTAACCTATGCAATGTGGTCAGCATTTTAGCATGCAGTGGTACATGCTGCAGTTTACATTCCTTGCATGGTGGCAAATACAAATTTCACCAAGATTTCGGTAATTGTGCTTATATAATCACTTTGCTTCCACATTGACAATGCAGCAGATTATCACACTTAGATTTCCGGCATAGCGTACGCTTTTCTGGTCATTTTGTTTGCCAGTGTTATTGTTGGTTTCCCGAGTTATTGCCATGTTTCCTTGAGACGATGTTGAAATTGTCTACAAAGGCACTAGCCCGGTGATCTTGCTGTAAGTATCTGTGACAACAAAGATTTGATGTTGAGGTATGACGACATGATCTTGTCGCACTTCTCAGCTTTTTAGAATTTTTTTGTTTTAGAAACCTATGTTACAAAAGATGTTTTCCAGGTCCCTTGAATGTGTCTTGTAACGTTGTTTTACTGCGCATTACACCCTGCCTAATCGCCTGCATTGTGAGCATTGGCCTGGGCACAACGTGCTCCCACTATACGAGACTTGTGCTAATAGTTTATGTATTTTAGGTTTGCAGTGAATCCAACGGCAGTAATTTGGTAGAATGATTTCAAACATATTATGAATAAGATTGAGCATATTTGTCATGACTCAACTAAGCTGCTCATTCTTTTCGGTTCGAAGGGATGTGGAAATAACTTTGAAATGTCGTAGGATTTAACTCTTGATAGAATGCAATTGATAACCTGTATATATTTTAATAAATGAAAAGCTAGTATAACAAGCTTTTTAATATTGTTTATTAATGATGTATCGATGTGAGGGCGCAATATGTGCATTAAGGGAATTTGGTAAGCCATACCAGCCATGTATTTTAGGCCAACTTTATGTACCTTTTTCTCCATAACCATAAAAGTTACAGTAATTATTTTTCTATCATTGTGCTCATAAGCCATTCCTCTTCTCACTGAAGCAGACTTACTCCTGAAACTTGTAATGCTAATTTTTTGTAGTTCTTTTACTTAAGGTACTTAATTATCATGCATTGATAGGTATTAGATGTTTTGATAAGAAAAACGTACTTCCTCACACAAAAATAATTGCTTCCATACACTAGCTGAAATCTACGTTTCTATATACAGTGGTTGCTGAGAAAAGCTACGAAAGTGCATAAAAGCATGGTTTCAGATAATCACGTTTAAAGTGGCAAATATGCTTGTTTCAAAAGCACCACAAAATAACCGCCAATCGAAGGACATTTTTTAAAGGGGCACTGGCCCAAGACCTTCGGCCTCGCGTTTTTCTGCTGCAATGCGTTGCTGTAGGGCTGCTAGTCGTGACATGACACATCGTTTGTTGCAGCACGTGACAGATAATTACAGGCTCCTCATTATTGTTCAGTTTCGGTTTGAGAGAGTTCCCAAAACTGGGTGCAACTGTCGCCACCTAGCGTGTGCAACTCTTGATCACGTCAGCAGACAGAACTGTGACGCTTTTCTGTACGGTCCGCATCAAGAATTACTTTCGAATAGGAAATGGAACTGGAATGTCGCCTGATGCAAAACTTTCTAAGCGTGCGCTAAGGCCATGCATTCGCAACCAGCCGCCGAGAAATATAGACTTCGGGAACTAACGCGGCAAAAAAATGGCGGTTATGACGTCGTCATAACTTGTTTCGTTGACCGCAGCGTGGTGACGTGAGGGAAGTAGGGGGTCCCGTCGGGATCGCCTCCGTTGGTGTCTGTAGCGCTATGCAGTCGGTCGCTCACGCAAACTTCAAAATTAATTTAAAATACCTTCCAAGCTATATTCGTTGTTGATATCTTGCAGATGATATACTAATGTTCACGAGAATTGACCCCGCAGGCTATCTCGTCCCCAAAACTTTGTGTCAGTACCCATTTAACAGGCACCAGCCATATACTCACTTTTTCTTTTTGAGTTGAGGCGTCTGGCTTGGTGGGCCTCCTTTGTTGCCTGCTTCACAGCCCTGTCAGCGAAGTACTGTCGACTCAGGTCAAGTGCGCGTAGGGCCTGCGCTGCGTAGCAACCTGGCGAAATTTTAAACGAATTCAGCACATTCACACGAGCTATATTGTCATCACTAAATGTGATTGCAGTGTTAAGACTGCATATTTTCAGTGTGAGGTGTCCGAGAAATACGTTTTTTTTAGCATGCTCCCACACATTGTTGAATGAATCGCTGGGGTTTTGCATTTCCAAATGGAGGAATTTTGCAAGTAATTCAGGATTAACAAGTTGCTCATGAATTGCCTCCTCAAGAATAGATGCCGGAAGGTGTTATTTGTGAACGTATGGTTCACCACTGAACTGTTCTTTGTTGAATTTGCACCAGGCATGAGCGTCCGTCGGGTACAGTAAAGGCTGTGGAATTGATTGGTGTGCGTTGAAGGGTCCTTACATGAAACAAGTTTCCAAGGTAGCGACGCCTTTCCCTTTCCTACCCGCCTATGTCCCTGGAGCGCTACCTATAGAAGGTTCCAAACTTTCATCAAAAAGCGAAGGTTTGGGTTCAGTTGCTACCGTGAATAGATGAAAATGAAACAAAATTGAACGAAATGAGTCGTAGAATAAACGCTTACCTTTATGATAATAAATAGTACAACACAAGAGCAAACGCGATGTGCGTTACTCAACTGGCAACGTTGTGAAGTTCTATATTTTACACCACTAGCCATGGCTAGGTCAATGGTAGCACAGAACACCTACCAGTTTGCCACAGAACACCTATACACTACTAATGACTAGTGTATAAGTGTTCTGTGGCTGGGTCACTGGTAGGTGTTCTGTGGCTAGGTGTTGTGTGCCTGTTGTACATCGTAGTTCGTGCTGTGACACCGTGGACGCGCTTCTTGCTGGATCCTGTCACTGACCACAGGGCGTGACGTTGTGACGAGCGATTAGAGCCGGCTTGCGCCCACGCAAGGAAAAACCACGGCCAGACTAGTACTAACGCTTGACTACAGCACTGTGGTGACAGTTTTTTTTTTGTTGTTGTTGTTAATATCCCTGTTTTGACAATCGTGATGCCAGCTGATTCTGGAGCGATGCGCGCATCTTCCTGAAAAGTGAGAGTTCTACTGGTGAAGTGTCCTGAAGCAGCGCGTTTCGGCTCATTTATGCCGCGTTCTGGTAAAGTGCTAAGACACGTTGCCGGGCTAGTTGCTTGGGGTTCATAATTTATAAGGGTATAGCGCACCACGACAAGGACACAAAAAGAGAGACGCACACACACACAGCGCTGTATGTGTGTGCGTCTCTCTTTTTGTGTCCTTGTCGTGGTGCGCTATACCCTTATTAATGCTGGTTAAATGGCCAAGTGTGGAATCTTCCTGAAGGTGCATTGATTACACGCTCCAGCTGCTCTGTATACGTGCATACGCACAAGTATTTGTAACAACTGACATGAACTAAACGCGCTCCGGGCGTTTCAATAAAAACCTACAAATAATCTCTCTTCGCAGATGCGCGTCGACGGAGTTGCACGACAGCGCTCGCGTGATATGTTTCATAGCTACACCTCACGGCAAGGTTCCTTTCGGCGTTGCATGAATGGTTGCCAGACTGGGAGAGTCAGTGCTGCCAGACTGCCGCTAAATTTGACTGCAAAATTTTTTTTCTGTAGTTGTGGCTTCTTTTGTGAGAATTTCGTGCCATCCGCAGTGCATTTCGCGAACGAGCGACGCTGGCCGTTTTAATTAACGAAATGAACCGTGCCTAGCAGTAGTCGAGCGTGGCGCTGCCGTGCAATTAAGAGGCCGTTTTAATTAACAGAAAGAACCGCGCCTAGCAGAAGTCGAACGCGGCGCTGCGCTCGACTTCTGTAACGCGCGGTTTATTCCGTAAATAAACCGAATTCGGTAACGCGCGGTTCATTCCGTTAATTAAAACGAATTCTGTAATGTGCGGTTCATTCCGTTAAATAAATTGGCCTCCTAATTGCACGGCAGCGCCACGCTCGACTCTGCTAGGCTCGGTTCATTCCGTTAATTAAAACGGCCAGCGTCGCTCATGCACTCGCGAAATGCACCTCGGATGGCACCAAACTCTTACGGAAAAGCCACAACTCCAGAAGAAAATTTTAAACCAAATTTAGCGGCAGTCTGGCAACAACCACCCCAAAGCCTGGCAACTGATTTATGCAACGCCAAAAGGAACCTTGCCCACCTCACGGCGTTCTTTATTTCGGATAGCACAAGGTAAGTCGAAGAGAGCGAAACCATTTTCTGTTGTTTTAAGAAAACCCAGCATTGTTGGAAAAACTCGGATATTGCATTGAACGAGCACCGCGAAACAATCTCGACTGACATGGTGCCAACTGAAACGCTCCTGCGCTTCAGTTTATGTCCTGGCTACGATTTCGTCTTTGGTCACAGTGAGAATCCGGCGGCAGCGATATGTGCGCCAGTATTGGCCAGCTGTCGCACTAAAGATGAAGAACGCCGCGTGGCTCGTGAGCCACGAGAAATTAAAATCGAGACGTTGGACGGTGACCCAACATTTGCAATTCCTTGTCGGACTCCGCACAATTTCGAGTCGAGAGCATGCGTGAAGTTGTTAGTATCCAGGCGGGCCAGTGCGGCAACCAGATGGGAGCTAAGTTCTGGGAAGTCATCGCAGACGAGCATGGCATTGACCCCACTGGCAGCTACCGTGGTGACTCGGACCTGCAGCTCGAGCGAATTAATGTCTACTACAACGAGGCTACTGGTGGTAAATACGTCCCACGCACCATCCTGGTTGACCTTGAGCCCGGTGTCATGGACTCCGTGCGGTCCGGTCCTTTTGGACAGCTTTTCAGGCCAGACAACTTCGTTTTTGGCCAGAGTGGTGCAGGCAACAACTGGGCGAAGGGCCACTACACAGAAGGTGCCGAGCTCGTGGACTCCGTGCTGGACGTTGTCCGCAAGGAGGTGGAAGGTTGCGACTGTCTTCAGGGATTTCAACTTGCCCACTCGCTCGGCGGAGGCACCGGCTCAGGCATGGGCACTTTGCTAATCTCCAAGATACGCGAAGATTACCCGGACAGAATGATCAACACTTTCTCAGTAGTTCCCTCACCCAAGGTGTCGGACACCGTCGTCGAGCCGTACAATGCGACCCTGTCCGTTCACCAGCTCATCCAGAACGCGGAAGAGACTTTCTGCATTGACAATGAGGCTTTGTATGAAATCTGCTTCCGCACGTTGAAGCTCACCACGCCCACGTATGGAGACCTCAACCATCTCGTGTCTGCAACCATGTCTGGCGTCACAGCTTGCCTTAGGTTCCCAGGCCAGCTGAATGCTGACCTGCGCAAGCTGGCAGTCAACATGGTCCCATTTCCCCGTCTGCACTTCTTCATGCCCGGCTTCGCCCCGCTCACCGCCCGGGGCTCTGAGCAGTACCGTGCCCTGACAGTACCGGAGCTGACCAAACAAATGTTCGACGCCAAGAACATGATGGTCGCATGCGACCCGAAACGCGGACGCTACTTCACGGCGGCGGCCATTTTCCGAGGTCGCATGAGCATGCGAGAGGTGGACGAGCAGATGCTCAATATTAAGAACAAGAACTCCCCCTACTTCGTCGAGTGGATCCCGGACAACGTCAAGACGGCCGTGTGCGACATTCCTCCTCGCGGGCTCAAGATGTCCGCCACGTTCATCGGAAACAGCAGTGCCATCCATGAGATCTTCAAGCGAATCTCTCAACAATTCACAGCCATGTTCCGCCGAAAGGCTTTCCTCCATTGGTACACGGGCGAGGGCATGGACGAAATGGAGTTCACGGAGGCAGAGTCCAACATGGATGGCCTGGTCTCAGAGTACCAGCAGTACCAGGAGTCAGAGTCAACCGCAGATGAGGAGGGAGAGTTCGAGGATGAACCAGAGGCTGATGCCGATGCTTAGGCAGCATTGTTTTTTTTTTTCACCCATTGGTCTCAAACCCCCTCACCTTTCTTCCTTTCTTTCAAGTTTTGTTTTTCTCATTCATGTTCTGCTTTAAATAAATATTCTCAGCTTGAAGACGAGTAGCTGCCGTTCGGCTGAAGGTTTTCGATTGCTCATCCTGTGAGATGGGATTGGCCACACTTGTCACCGTTGGTTTTTTATCTGCTGTAAAATTTATCTGCTGTAGGAGTCATCAATGCCGGTCTCCGATCCCGGCCAGGACTCGCCCTGGTCGTCCAGTCGCCCTACTGAATCGGTACCACTGCAGTGTTTCCTCATGAACGGTGTAAGCAGTTGGCCTGTCGCGCTTGTGCCCACTGATGGTGGAGCCATTGAAATGGAAGTGTTTCAAGAAGAGCTTTGCAACATAACCGGGCATTTTCTGGACATCTCGGAGGTGAGGCGCTTCGGCATGACTGGCTAACTGTGCAGGTCTTCAAATATTCTGTGCTTAAGATTTGCATTCATTGCTGTTCGCACTTTTATCCCCCTCATCTTGCTTTTGTTGGCGGTATTCCTACTAACTTTAGTCCTGAAGCATTCTTAAAGATGGTCTCTCCGCCTGGCGTGGTATGTGTCTACAGAAACACCTGACCTGTAGGTGCATCATACGCGATTCCCTACTGAAAGCGTCATCGTTACCTTTGCCGGTCATAAGTCCCTCTTAGCCGAAGGAGTGGCCTTGTCTATTCCGTGTTGAGGCATTGACACCTCTCCCACTGCAGTGTCGTAAATGCTGGCGATTTGGACATGGCGCTAATGCTTGCAGGTCCTCATTGAAATGTGCGAAATGCGGTGGGGCACACGCTGCATCAGATAGCCAGGTAGACAACTGCAGGTGTTGCCTATGTGATGGAGCTTTCACAACATAGCCACGGACAATAGCTGCCCTGCTCGCGAACGTAAAACACAAATTCTGGATATTGTGGAGAAACGCCATTGTTCTCAGTCTGAGGCAACATCCTTCATTAAAGAGCGCGAAGTGGGGTACGCCGCTGCTACGTCACACCAGTGTGGGTCCATTGAAGCGACGGTCGCTTCTGCAGTGTCAGCAGCGATAGATAAAGTATGCCGATGATAATGGAACGACTTTTCAACACCTTTGCTGATGGTCTGACCGAGGTGCTCGCCGACAGGTTAAACAGCCTTATTCCGTCCTTCGCTGCTCACACTGTCACATTTCAGGGAGAAGCTGGGCACCTCGACAATGAACAAATCAATCCGTGTCAAGAAGATGTTCCCCCAGAAAAGCTCGTCAGCTTTCAGTCGCCGACCTCTGCGGTGCCCACTGGGTCATTTGGTGACATGAGGCTTGGTAGCATCATTCATAAACGACGCAGTGATCCATTGTCTCCAACCAGTTCGCCAATGTCGAAACCTAAAAAAGGTACTACTTATAGCATCAACGAGCAGGACGTTTTGCATTCTGCGGTTGAGTGAACTATATTAAGTCCACCACAGCGCATGTAAGAGTTCTCCAGTGGAATTGCCGCTCCGTATCTTCCGCTTACACAGATCCTCAGTATCTCATACAGCAAGCAAATCCTAATATAATTTTACTTCAAGAGTCTTGGCTTTCGGTAAACCAAAAATTTACTCTGAATAATTTTCGAACTTTTAGACTGGATCGGCCAGGTAGACGAGGTGGATTATTAGCCCTCATATCTTCAAAAATGTATCATGCTACTGTAACTTTTGAACACATTTGTCTGGATTGCGAACTGTTAGGAATAGATTATTTGTTACCTGACTCCTTCGGGATTACAGTGATCAATGCGTACTTGCTGAATGGAGTAAGACGCACATATTACCTAGATGGTGGGATCAAGAATTCTTTTTCAAATGCAATTTTATTGGCAGGGGATTTTAACTCGCATCACACTTCTTGGAGTTAAAAACAGATGGCTGTGGCAAACGATCGTCGAATCGGTTGCAGGATAATAAATTTCGTTGTCATAACTCTGGACAAGTTACCTTTCTACGCGGGATAAGCTCATCAACATTAGACCTAACTTTTTCGTGTGACCAGTTTATAATTTCATCGTCGGAAACGTTTGATAACGGGACGAGTAGTGATCATGATAAGAGATTTGCCCTCTACAGATTTTTACGGAACAAAAAAATCGACACAGGTACCAGCGTATTCGCACTCAGTAGTGCTGTCTCCAAAAGAGGCAACCGATTTGTTAGAGGACATAGCGAAAGGACTTGAAGCGCGTTTCGCTTCATCATGCGTGAGACCTATCACATTCAAAAGCTCAACCTCAGACTTTCGGGAAGTCACTATGGCGGAACTGGCAGACGTCATACTAACTGTAAATCAAGCTCAACCTCAGACTTTCGGGAAGTCACTATGGCGGAACTGGCAGATGTCATACTAACTGTAAATCAAGTGGCTCCCGGTCCGGATCATATTGCAAACTCTATGATTAAATTGATGTTAATTCCTATCCTGATGAGCTTTTGAATATTGTCAACTGTTACTTACAGCACACATGGATTCCAAACGCATGGAAAACTGCTAAAGTTGTGTTGCTGTGAAAAAATCAAAGACTCGGATATGTCCTGGATAACATTCGGCCAATTTCGCTTACTTGAAGTGAAGTGAAGTGAAGTGAACTTTATTGCCACATATATCAAAACATGTTTAAACAACAAGGATGGTGGGATAAAAGCTGCATGTAGGCAGCTTGACTAGTCCCACCTCCCAGAATAACAGCAGCAGCAAACATTAACAAGCATTCTTACTTGTCACAATAGTAAAATAGAAATACATAAAGCAAAGCGATAAGAGAAGAAGCAAAAATGTATGAAACAAACATTCTCAACAGACACAATCATAAACAACAAACATTGATGTTTATAAAATTAGTTGAAGCATTCTCTTTTTGGAAATATGATATATGTTGTCTTCACTTAATTTATATTTATTTAGTATTGAAGGAAGGCGGTAGGAAAGTGTTTGAAAACCGTAGTTCAAACTTAGTTAAAATAAGTGAAAAAAATTTTCTTAGAAGGCTCAGTGAATTCATCACTCGTCAGGGTATCCTTTCGCCAAGGCAAGTAGGATTTAGACAGGGGTGCTCTATATGGGCGGCTCATGTTGATTAGGAAAGCCGAATTCACCTTGCAAAAGTATCTGGTGAGCTTTCTGCATTAGTCACGTTAAATATTGCAAAAGCCTAAGATAGTGTTGAACACAGTACATTGGTTTATAGATTAGCGGACTGTGATGTGCCCAATTACATTATATCTTGGGTTCAGGAATTATCTTTTTGAGGGACAGTTCTTTTGTTGCCACGAGGGAATTACTTCTGCCTCATATAAGTAAACAAGAGCTGTTCCGCAAGGATCAGTTCTGTCACCTCTTTTATTTGATATCTTATTATCATCGATTTCACTTCATAAAAATGTTCCTCTTTACGTCTACGCCGATGATATTGCTTTTTTCTCGTCATCCCGAGATATCAATAGTTTGTATCAAATCTTACAGTAATATTTGAGTGAGCTTGAGGTATGGCTTGGCGGGCTGTCTTTCGCTTAATATTAGCAAATATTCTCTGCTTGTATTTCCTTTATCCATTCCCGTATTTCTGGCGCTGCATTATCAAAATGATCCAATTCCACAAGGAACGGCACTAAAATATCTAGGCATTACTTACGTGGACAACTTCATTTAGCAGCGACAAATAGAATCGAACACCCGTAAAGCAGAAAGCGCCTTAGGATTGCTACACCGGTTTTGCATACGAATTCAGGGATGCGCAGGGATACGTTACTTATAATACACAAACTTTACGTATGAAATTCTGGAGTTTAGTTGCGTTCTGTTTTTCGGAAGTGCTGAGTACGGCTGTGTCTCGGGCTACCTAGGTGTGTCGCGAATAGCGTGCTTTATTTGGAAGCTCTAATCATTCCGCTTGATGCAAGATTTCGACCACTTACCGTTCAAACATTTTTAAAACTTTACGATGTGCCCCTCTCCCCTTCACAGACAGTTTTCATCAAATCTCCAGATTCTTCAGATTCTTTCTTTAGGCGCCCGTGGCGTCGTTATCAAATACCCCAAGTCATTTTCGTCGAGTCTCTGTTATCGTATCTTCACGTTTTCCTCCAGCATTTAACTCTCCAAATCCTCTGCTCGATGCCAGTTGACTTAGTTTTCGATGACATCTTTCCAAACAAATGCTACGTTGCTTCCAAAACATGTTCTGGAGGACTTCCCTCAAGACCATCTCAGTCATTTTCCTACTTACGTGGTAATTTCGATGGATGCAACGCAAAATCTTCAGAAGGCTGGAGTGGGTATTTGTTCTCATCAGCTTAATTGGTATTTTGCGCTTCGATTGCCTGACTGCGCGCCAATTTATCTCGCAGAATTCCTGGCTATAGTACAATGGCTTTTCGAAAACTAAGTTCTCAGCAATCAAAAGCTATTATTTCGGATGCTTTGTCTGTTTCTACACATTTAACGTCCGCAAATCAGTCTCCTCTTTTCGGGATATTTTGGTCTCTCGTACCGCGTAGCCTATCAGAAGTTAGGTTTTTTGGGACTCCCGGGCATGCTAATTAAAACTGCTGGCTCGCTCTCTTTGGCGTACATAAATTTCCTGGCGGTGCTAGTAACTCCACAATTTTCTTTTATTACTGCCGAACGATTCAAACGCCTCGTAATCTTAAAAAAAAAAACTAAAGATCGCTCCTACAATCTGAAGAATTTCGGCACTTTCAATTCACATGGAACACCGAAAAATGCCTTTCCGGTAAATGTGAGGTGACCCTCACAAGCTTTCGCTGTAGAGTTCCTTGGTCAAATTATCTTCACAAATCAGGATTTCCATTAACTATAACCAACGTGCAGTTTGCAATGAACCGGAAACAATGAAGCACTTTCTTCTCACATGCTGCCGTTTCGCCTCACTGCGCCGAATAATTCTTGAGAGACCTATTGGTATGCTTGGATTGGCAGTTA